GTATTCTATTGAATCTTTAAATTACTAGTACCAATACTGTATTAGAATATATTAATAGTTTTTGGTCGCAAAAAGTTTCATTAAAGATTTATCAAATTAGTTAAATTTATCATTTGTATGTACGCATAATGCATTGTTAATATATATCTTAAACACACAAAATATATTAATTACTGTATATTATATATCATTAATATATGTCTAAAACATATTAGTTTTATAAAATACAGTAGAACCAAAAATTATTTAAAGAACATTTTGTTTAATTTATTTTTTTACAATGTCATTAAGAGAGTGTTCACGCTGTAAAAAAGACAAAAAACCTGAAGAGTTTGGTATTAATAAAACGGATTACTTTAAAACATGCATATTATGTCATCAAAAACTTGATTTACCTTCAGCAAAAAATTTACAAACCAATAATAATCCGGATAATAATGAGCATGTTGAGCACGAAATTCTATTAGATGATACCGTTGATTTAGATAATTTAGAAGATTATATTTTGACTGAACTTGAGGCATGTGAAAATAATTTAGACGGAATTGAAATCAATATTCGTGTTGTTTTACCAAGTGAGAAATTTAATAATAATGAAATGGACCTTATTTTTCAAGAAGTTATTAAAATTATTCAAGCTGCTGATGGATATAAATGGAATTATCTACGTCAATACAATAATGTTAGTAAAAAACTAACACGATGGTACACCTGTTCACTTTCTTCTCAACGTGATCATTCTGAACAAAATCCTAAACGTATATATACTAAGCAAGAACGATTTACATGTCAAGGTTTAGTAAGAATTATTTTTAACCTAGAAAAAATGATTGTGCATCTTTATATACGTCATTATGAGCTTCACTTACGCCCAACTATAAAAGAAAATGTTGATAAAAAAGTGATTGAATTTATTAAAAATAATATTCATCTTACTTCAAGACAACTTTGGGAACAGCTACAGTATCAATCACATACACTAACACAAAAACAAGTCCATTTCTGGTGGACTACGTTTTATCAAAAACTTTACCTTCGTGATGATGATCAGTTTATTTCAACAACTTATTTGCTACAAGAAGATGAAAATTATTTATTATTATATAGTAATCAAGAAAATGGAATTTTTGAAATTGCATTTACTACTCCATTTTTACGATTATTACATAATAAATACGAAGAAATAGCCATGGATGCTACATACAAAACAAATAAAGCTGGATTTGAACTTTATGTAGTTATGGCGAATATAGAAGGCGTTGGTTACCCATTGTCATATTTAATGTTAAATTCATTAACATCTATGACAAATAAACGTACTATAGCATTAACTAACTATTTATATGCAATACAAAAGCAAGGCATTAATCCTGTATTTTTTTTTACTGATAAGGACTTTTCTCATATTAATGCTATTAAAACAGTTTGGCCTTCTGTAAAAGTTCAATTATGCTTGTGGCACTTA